ATATATATAATATTCTGTAACTCTAACTTCTGTCGGTGCTGTGCTTTTTTGGAAATCGAATTTCCCAGAGGAACCCACCCGAGGGATTAATAAAGTTCTATCTAATCTAATCTAATTAATCCCAGAGGTCTAACTGACTTGATTCTATACTGTGATTACAAAGTGTTCCTCTGTTATTTTTGAGTGGTGTTTATAGCATTTACATACATATAGTTAGTTTAAAGGGCAACTGTGGCTTTTCCGCACGTATGAATGGCTGGATGACCAGAAGAGACAGGTTTCACACAAGACACCTGCCAAGCATTTTGCATCAAAGTCACACTACTATATAAGGTGTAACGAATAAGTTCAGAGAGTTGTTCTGTAAAAATCTGAATCCACACTGGAATTGAATTTGGCAGGTTTTCCATTGAAGATATCTTTTGATGTATCTTCAGGATACTTTTAGCGCCGCTGCTGTTTTTAGATCAGTCCCTTGAAGCAGTGATATGACCACTTAGACTTGTTCATCTATGATTTCAAAAGGACCCAAATTTCACGTGAAGGATCATAGCTGGTGACAAGAACTAGATCTCTGGCTATGACATAGCAGTTTTAAACAGTTTTTGGTCCAAGAGTCCACAGTTTCCAAGCCTAAAGGTAGCACATTAACCTCCTAGGACCTGGCGTCCACATATGTGGACATCACATTTTGATATCCACTTACGAGGACATTATACTACAACTGTTCTATCGAAATTTTAAATGAATATCTCATATGTGGCTCTCATTTTTCTTAGAAACAAAAATTAGGTAAAAAAAAAAAAAAATATCGGGTAGTTCTTTGTTTTTACATTCATCAGGTCCCAATATGCCTAAATATCACAGAGAAATTAAAAATGCATGCCAAGGAAGAGTTCGGGTCTTAGGAGGTTAAGTATGGATTTTCGCTACTTCTCTTCACAAAATTAAAAACATAATTTGAAGGACTGTCATTTTAGCACAGTGAAAGAGAGCCAGTGCATATCAGTAAAGAGCAAGCGCAAGCAGACAGAATGCGACCAATCAATCTAAAGATATCAGCCAGACTTAGACCAGCTAGTCATGCACAAGAAGATGATCCTGACGGCTCAGCTATGGCTTTGGATATTTCTGAGAAATTGGATAATTCTCTTGTTATAAGCTCTAAACTTATATAATCTTCTCTCTATAACCTTAGTCGAGTAATAATATTGCAGGTTTCTAGATCAGTGTAGTTTGTGTAAACTGTATAGAAACTCCCTTGAATACTCTTTACAGTAGCAATCTATAAAAAAACAACCCTAATCTCTGGTGAAAGTTAGTGTGGTTTTCCAATCAAAGGTTCAATAATTATATTTTTTCTAACAGATGATTAGACTTTAATGTAATTTTCTTGTATTAATATCATTCTAATATAATTTCTCTTTCTCTTTGTATTAGAACTTCAGCCCATCAGCCAAACTAATCAAGACAAAAGGAAAACTAAAAAGAAACAAAACATAATGAAATAACAGAAAACACTGAAGAACATGCATGCATGAATGTAAAACTTCAAAGGCAGACTGTCTCAGAATGTAGGTCAGAAATCACATCAGATAAAATAAAAGATTAAGATTTTTTTTAAACCAGGCCAATTACATTCCTGTGTCACATTTCACATAGCTCCACATTCTAACCACACTCCACATCAGCAGAGAGTAAAAAGGAGAGACTTAGGTATACGTATGATGTTGAGCTCAAGTTCCATCGTACTTTTTATTGTCTCTGTATCAGTTTTTATCTAAACCAATCACAGGAGTATCTATAAAACACAAATAAATCACTTCATTTAAACACACATGTAGCATGCTCTACAACAAATAAATGTACCAGAAATTTCATCTCTTGTCTTACCTGATCCCACGGACAGATGATCCCTCCAGAAAACATAAAAAGGTAACCCATGGCAACCAAACAAGCCCAGATGACCAGGGAGAAAACACGTAAAAGCTTCTTGAAGACAGACTCAATGCAGACAAGCACAAATACAGCCAGGAATATGGCCAGTGCTGTGGGTACAGTGATTACAAAGGCCACATGGTCCGCAATGTTCTGGAAAAGGACAGAACAAAAAAAAAAAATTGAGCATCAGAAAGGTGAGAAAAAAGTGAGACATGTAGATGGACATTTTAAGAGGGAAGGGAATTTATCAGACGACTGAAGAATAATCTGAGTAAAATACCCTTTCCTACAAATTCAAAGGGCAGATTTCTCGAGAGGACACAAAACAACCTTTGTAAGAAAAAGCCATTTCCCTGTCTCTTTCTGCTTTAATATTCTAAAAATAGAGTAACCGAGGCAGATGTGTGCATGCAAATGTACACACCTGCCATAAAAACTAACTAGGGACTGTGCATATAAATGAACACTTACAAAGAAAACACTGTATCACAGCTCCTGGTAAACCGAATTTAACCAATCTCCATATTTACAATTTTGTTTGCATAAGATTGAGAAAAAAAACCAAACCAAACAAAATGCAAATAACCTAAAAAAAAAAAAAAGAAAAAAGAAAAAGGGGTAAAACTGCCCCCAAAGGATAAATCACGAGTTCACAAGCTCCTATGAAGTCCTGTGGGAACTTAGTGCACCCCATGATTCAGTGAATTGCAGAACCACCTTTGGCAGCAAAAACCTACAGTATTGTTCATTCACACCTCTCTGCAGCAATTCCGTTGAATTGAGCTCTATACTTTGACTCGGCCATTGCAACACCTCAATTCTTTTCTTTTTCAGCCATTCTGTTATAGATTTGCTGCAGTGCATGTCACAGGGTGGAAATGGACAAGTTAACTGGGTTTTTCATCTTGCATGAGTGCTGTGTTTTACTATTTTTAATATTGTACAGTTTTCTTGTATTATTGCATGTTTTTGATTGTATTTCTTGTTGACTTGTCATAGAGAGACTCCGCCCCTCCCTGATTACTAACTTGGCACACCTGGGAGGTCACAGAGGCCCAATAAGAGGGCCTTGCAGGTCAGGAGAAGGAGGGCAGCAGAGATGGCAAAGTAGTGGGCGGCAGCGGCAACTGAGGAGGTCGCAGGTCAGAGGACATTCTCGAGAGAAGCTTAACTGGCGACAGCAATAGCGTTGGAGGTGCTGGCGAGTGGGCTGCAGAGGAGCAACTGGGAATATTCTGCAGCGGTGTGGGAGATTCGCAGCTGCGGGACGGGCAGAAGTACGCCGGATGTCGGTGAGGGGCGAGACACCTGACATGTGTATTGCTCTTTTATTCTATTTTAATAATTGTTGTCCCTGGCCAGGGTATTTTACTGTTTATGTGCAAAATAAATTATATTTTTAAAATGTCCTATTGTTTCTGGCTCCAATATTGCTATTCCCGTTTAAGAAGGTTCCCCTTTTTAAAGTAGAACCTGTATTAAACCGTCCTTGGTGACATGCATAGGATCATTGTCCTTTTGCAGTCCCTTCTGGTCAAGCATTAGCCATTGCACAGATGGCATCACATTTCACTCCAAAATGCTTTGCTATAAAGAGGTGTTCATAACTAACTGAATGAGTGGAACCTGTCCAGGTCTTGGGGCTGCAAACAAGTCCAAATCATCAGCCCTCCACCACCGTGCTTGGCAGCTGGTGTATTTGTGCTGGAATGCTGTGTTTGGTTTTCACCAGAAATAACTTGTTCAATAAATCTTGTGGTTTGTTCAGAGGCACTTTTGCTATCCTAAGCTGTGCTACTAGAGAAAGAAGGGGCTTTTTTTGGGACTCTTACAAATAAACCATACTTGTTCAGTCTTATTTTTTATGAACTTTAACATTTAACATGCAAACTGAGCCTGTAGAGGCTGAGATGTTGTTCTTGAATTTTTTGTAGTTTCTTTGAGCATTGCACAGTCTGACTTTGGGATGTATTTTCTGGGAGATTAACTCCTGGGAAGATTGTGGCAATGCACACCAATTTCCAAAACTTTATAGAGGTGGTCATGAGGAGGAAAACAGTACATGTGACCAGCAGCGCCTGACTACTATGTACTTTCATGATTCCTATGGAAGCAGTAAGGGTCTACTTTGATTTTCACATGACTGTGTTATTTTATTATAGATAATAAGCTGTTCAATAACAATACATGTATCCATGTCCTGTCATATCCTCTTCTCAGTGTGCAATGATAGAATAAATTAAAGTGACAGGATGTTACACGGTCCAAAACAAAAACAGATACAAAAGTCGTTAATTAGTAATTAGCTGAAGTATTCATTATAGGCATGTTTAATTTCTTAAATACACTTTGATATGCAAGTTCTGATAAAATATTCAAGAGCTTCTCCAAGGTATAGGATGTTAAAGTGAGACGAGCTGCTAGGCTTTGCCAGGCTTTGCCCCATCAGTGGTTTCACAGTGGTATGATGGGGGATGGAAAAGGGTCAGGACAGGGACATGGAGGCTGATGTGTCATATCATATCATATTTTCCTTTGGAGGAAATGAAATCTGTAAAAAATTTCCAACATTTGAGATAAATCAATCAGTTCTATGAATAACGGTTTTCAATGCTGGTTCAGTATATATTAATTTAAAAACATACGTGATTCACAGACGTGATGATATTACGAGAGCCTCATAAAATAGCTTCCACATCCATGCACGTGATTGTCACGTTTAAAAATTAAAAATATCCACTATACGAAGCAAAACATAATCCAGACTGACAGCAACAATTAAGACTGTTTAAATTCTCATTTCAACTAGTGCGTAAAAAAAGTAGTCATGCATAGTCATGCATATAGTTAATTGAAAATTTGTACTTCTCATTCACTGCAGCGTAATTACTAAAACGATTTTTATTCTTTCAATCAACTCTTTCAAAAGTGACCTGTAATTCTGCTAGCTTAACAATGTTTCTCTTTGCATTTATCCTTTTTCTAGTTCTCCTTCTCCTTATTTAGCCCCCCCACCCCCCACCTATCCTCTGTCTTTTTCTCATGCGCAGTCAATGCACTGGGACATGAGAGGATGTGTGTGGCTGCAGAAAGCCACATAGAGTTTGTCTCGCCCAGAGCAGAGCTCCAAAACAGCACAGGATTTAGGTCAGCCAGCTAGGAGGATGGAGGGATGATGGGATATGAATAAAAAGAGAGACAGAAATATGAGGAGGTGATAGATGGCATAAGAATGGGATGATGGAGAAAAAAAATAGCAATCAGAAAATTCATGCATATCCAGCACAGGGATAGAGGAAAAATATATATATAAATAAATACATAAAAATAAAAAACAGAAGGCAGAAGATGTTGAAACAGATAGTCTGAGCAGTGGGCAGGAAAAGATTTATTCACTGTGTACCAACAAAAACATTAAAAAGATATTTGTTAATGTTTTTGTTTATATTTTTATTTAATAGAACTGTTTTCCTAAAACTACAGTTTCAAAAGACTCTTGGTTGGTTCTGGTTTATGCTTCTTGCTTTATGTTAATTATTAATGGTTTTAGGCGCTTTTACCTTGGGGTTAAAAATACTTCTATATTTTGATCTAGTTAAACATTTGTGTTAAATAATAAGGTCAAGATGAAGTTATCCTTCAGGCTGAGACTAAGGTGTCAAATCTTAAGAATGACCAACTATCTTATCTCTCCATGTGGAAACCCATAACATCACTATTACAAGAGAGTGTATCCATGATATTTATAATCTAGTTTGGAAAACTTGTATCATGATTTGTTTCAATAGTGGTTAGAAATTCAAACTATAAATCTATTATTCTTTCATTTCATTTCATTTATTTATTTATTTCACACTTGGTACAACAGATCAAACAAACCAACCACACTTTCTATCAATAAAGCACTACAACCATGTGTGAAAAGGAGCAGGAAGAAGAAAATATTCTATTATTCTATTATCTATTATTCTAAAATTATTCTTGATTTGATAAAAGAAAGAGGGCACTATTTAACTGCTGACTCCCAGTACTAGTGTCAAAGCAATGACCTGCACGACCTTTCTGAAGTTCAGACATAATTTCGAAGCATATATTTAACTGAAAACAGTACAACTATAATATATCCAATGTTGTTTTTGAATTTGATGCCAGCAACATGTTTTAAAAACCTGAGACAGAGGCTTATTTCCCCACAGTGCTGCATCACCTCTTGTTTTAACAGCACCTTGCTAAGTGTTTGGGTACTGAGGGGACCAAATGCTGTTATGAAAGCATAATATTCCCATATTATTGCTTGATATTTGCCATTCTTTTCATTGCATAATGGTATGAGTGTTTTCAATACAAGCTGCACTGTAGACAGTATAGTTTAGCACCAGTTCGCCTACTACACAATCACGCTGATGGAAAATGTGAAATGCTGTTTTTCTTGCTGAAATAAGCAAGATGTTCTCCAAAAATTACTAAATGAGCAGTAATGCTACCATCAAGGAACTGACCTTTGAACTTTGACCTGAGAACAAGCCAGACGGTCTTCATTCTCTATAGCATAGAGAAAGAGCCATCCATGGTTTTTGAACGAAATCTTACATTTTTTAAATTTCAAATAACACACCAACTAACCATAGGAAACTGCTTATTGTAGTCATCTGTAAGTCATAGTGCTGTTCAGACCTTTTGTTTGCAGGTATATTATCCCCCATTGGAATTATTGTACCATTAAATTAATGTAAAGCAGTTTCTCACAGAGTAGTAAATCCCTACCTATCTTTATTTCTGAATGACTTTTGTACGGCTTTTTGTTACAGTTCTCATTTCCAAACACAATGTACTGCCTATTTTAGTAATAAACCTAACTTATCATCACTGGATAAATGCTTTTATATGTTTTTTTTATATTTTATTGTGGTTTTTTTGCTTTTAACTGTACTGGAGTACAGTAAAAGTTGAGAAAAGAGTGACTGTGTTTTTGCTGTAACTCTAGCACAGTAAGAAAAGCAGTAT